AAAGATTCATTTAAATAGAACTATCATTTCAAAGGAGATAATTAGAATTAAATTGTCTAAATTAAATTTTCTAACATATTTCCATTGTCAATAAGTGCTAATTTATATAAGACTTAGAAGGTGATGGATCCATACAAGAATCATCAAAAGGATAAATAAAATAAAATAGAATATTTGAAGTCAGTGAATGTATCACAAAAGTTATAAGACAAATATGATTAAAATAAGCAAAATATTCAATGTACCCAAAAGAAGACAAGAAGTGAGAAAAAAGAAAGCATAGAACAATTGTAAGAAATAGGGGAAAAATGTATTAAGATAATAGATTTAAATCCAAGCATATCAATGATTAATAAATTAACTAATATTATTACTATTATTTTTATTTATTTTTTAGTTTTCGGTGGACACATCTTTATTTATTTATTTTTTTTATGTGGTGCTGAGGATGGAACCCAGCGCCCCATGCATGCCAGGAGAGCACACTACTGCTTGAGCCACATCCCCAGCCCAACTATTATTAAATTATAAGTAATTATCCAAGTTTATCAGAATTAGCAATTGTTGCCAATAGTGTACTACTTACAATAGATAAAAACTTAAATGAGGATATAGAAACTGTAAAGACAGAATTTAAAATAAAATATAATATTTAAATTGTGACCAAAATAAAGTAATAGACTTTAAGACACGAGAAGCATACTGGAGGTTAAGAGATATATTTCACAATGATGAAAAGATCAATACATCAGGAATGTATAAAAATTTGTATGTACCTAATTTCATAGCTTATCAAGCAAAATATAAAGAAATTTATGGGTAAATAAATTCATGAACATAAAGAAAAAAATTAATACAAAATTTCTAGAATGTTATAGCAAAGACAGATCAAAAATATCAAGAAAAATGGAGAGTACTTGAAAAGGAAGATTAATAAACTTTGCCCTAAATGATATAATAGAGCACTTGCTACCAACTATGCCAAATATGTGAGTACAGCCCAAATTTTTATATACTGGACTCTATATACATAAAACAAATCCCAACACATTTTAATTGAGTAAAATAATACAATGTATTTTCTCTGTATTGATTATAATAGAATTTTAAACTTGAAATCAGTAATTAAAAATAATTAGACATTAATTCCCATTACCTATCAATACATATTTTTTATTATAAAAACAATTAGAAAATTAAAAACTTCAAAAGCTAGAGAAACATTGTAATAGAAAATATTTGGAATTACAATGTAATTATTGAATATATGTAAAATTTGTATATGGAGCTAAAATAATTTTTATGGCTAGATAAGAAGTGTCCCCAAAGATGTATGTGTTGAAGGCTTGCCTCCAACGCAGCAATGTTCAGAGGTGGGACTTCAAGGAAATGATTGGATCATGAGGACTCTCACCTGGTGAGTGGATTAGTCCATTGGTACTTGATTGGACTACTGGAAGGTGCAGAGGTTTTGGGGAACTAGGAACTAATTGAAGACATGGATCCCTGGGGAACTGCCTCTAGGGATTATATCTTATCCCTGAAGGCTTTTTCTTTTTCTCCCTCTCTCTGCCCCTCTCTGTGTTTCTCCTTCTTGACTGCCATGAGGTGAGTATTTTACTTTACCACATCCTTTACCATGATGTATTGCTTCACCTCGGGCCAAAATCGAAAGAACCAGCTGACTTTGGACTGAAAACTATGAAACAATGAGCCCCAAATCAACCTTTTATCCTTTAAATTGTTTGTGTCAAGTACTTTGGTCAGAGCAATGAAAAGCTAACACAGCCTTCTTTAAAGAATATTTGATAACCATCCAAGTGTACATTTCAAGAACAAAGCCTGAAAAATAACAGTCTATTTCTGATGAAGTTATGGAAAGAATTTATCACCTTAAACCCAAGTAAAGTAGAATGAAGATCATAATTAAGAAAGAATTTTTTAAAAATAGAAAGCATGAATGCAATAGATTAAAATTAGCAAAATCAAAAGATGTTCATTTTTTAGAAGAAAATATTGATAAATACCTGGCAAGACCAACCAAGAAAATGAGTAAAAAGGGACCAATTATGAATAAAGGGTAAAAATGTGACAATAAGGGCTGGGGATGTGGCTCAAGCAGTAGTGTGCTTGCCTGGCATGCATGCGGCCCAGGTTCCATCCTCAGCACCACATACCAACAAAGATGTTGTGTCCGCCGAGAACTAAAATAAATAAATAAATAAATATTAAAATTCTCTATCTTAAAAAAAAAGAACAGAGTGAATGGGGAGAGAAAGTTTAAAAAATGTGACAATAAAACTAATAAAATAAAAGATAATAAAAAGCATAAATCCCCTTTTCCCCCAAAATTGAAAATTCAGAAAAGCTGAAGTTAGCATTATAGCTATGAAACTTTTTTCAAAAAAATAACAAAGAAAGAACAATTTTTAACTAACTTTTGAAGCAAAGCATTAACTGATATAAAACTTAAAAAAACCAAAAATTACTAGCCAATATTTGTTATGAAAATGGATTAAATGTCTTAAAGCAATATTGGGTTTTCACATTTTACATAAAAAGATAATTTTTCACTACTATGTTGGACTTTTTATAGAAATGCAGATTTTGTTTATATTAAAAATTAATCTAGACCCAGCTATTCCTCTTCTTGGACTATACCCAAAGGACCTAAAAACAGCATACCACAGGAAAACAGCCACATCAATGTTTATAGCAGCACAATTCACAATACCTAAACTGTGGAGCCAACCTAGATGTCCTTCAGTGGATGAGTGGATTAAAAAAAACTGTGGCATTTATACACAATGGAATTTTACTCAGCATTAAAATTCATTTGCAGGTAAATGGATGGCATTAGAGAAGATAATGCTAAGTGAAGTTAGCCAATCCACAAAAAAACAAATGCCGAATGTTTTTTTCTGATATAAGGGGGTGACTCAAAGTAGGGTAGGGAGGGAAAGCATGGGAGGAAGATTATTTCTAGATAGGGAAGAGGGGTAGGAAGGAAAGGGAGAAGGAAAGGAATTAGCAAGGATAGTGAAATGTGATGGTCATCATTATACAAAATACATGTATGAAGATTTGAATTTGGTGTCAGCATACCTTATATACAAACAGAGATATGAAAAATTGTGGTATATACGTGTATTAAGAATGGTAATGCAAAAAAAGAGTACATGTATAATGGCATAATTTGGCATGAACATACTTTATATACAGAGTTACAAAAAATTGTGCTGTATGTGGGTAATAATGAGTGTAATGCATTCCACTATTGTCATGTATATAAAAATTAATTAATTAATTAATCAATCTAGAAATTATAACTTTATAGTGAAACACTCTTATAGAGACACATTTTAACCAAGTGATCAACATTAATGTCACCATTATTGGGACAAACTAACATCATATATCTCCTGACACACTTAGAAAAATACAATCTAATCATTTGGAAAGGTTAAACAAATCTTACTTATGAAGTGTTTTTTTAAAAATACCTAGTTAGAATTCTTCGAAGATATCAAAGTCAATAGAATTTAGGAAACTTTTAGTTGCATTTGTAAATCAAAATTTACAAAAAAGACTGGAACAAAATATAATGCATAACCTTTTTTTTTACATTTTATTTTATTTTTTTATTTTATTTTTTTTTATTTCTTCCCTCACAAGTTCAGGGTTACTTGGATGAATACATTTTTATTTACTTATTTATTTATTTATTTTTCTTTTTTTATTATTAGTTGTTCAAAACATTACAAAGCTCTTGACATCATATTTTCATACATTTAATTCAAGCAGATTATGAACAATCTTAAATAGAATCCAGCATCCCCCTGCCCCAAAACGTCCAAGATTATAAAGGTAATTAAATAGACAACTAATGGAATTTAATGTGCATTATTAATTATATTGTGACTATTCATGTTAACGTTTGCGGTAAAGAAGGAAGATTCACAATTAATCAGAGATGTTAAGACACATAACATTATTTGCTAAGTGGACTTTTTGATGAAAATATTTAGATGTCCATAAAATTGACAGTTGTTGATAATGCATAGATTGAGCTTGGGATCTGTCTGTGTGTCTGATTGCATCTCACATTAACAAAAAATTCAGCCTACTTAGAAGAAAAATATCCTAGTTTGTCATCTCTAGAAGCAGATCTCTAGAAGAGATCAAGGTTCTTGTGAAAGCAACTTATAAAAGGAGTACACTCAGGGATTCAACAAAAGGAATGAAGATAGGAAGGGAAAGAAGCTAAATAAAGAAATGACTCTGGAAGTATAGGCTCAACCTGAGAGTACAGGAAGTGTTGTGGATCCTGTCACAGAAGTGGCAGAGCTGTTGAATACACTGCCAAGGACTGGCCTTAGGCCAGGTGTAGTGAGTGCTTACAATTTTATATAATATCAGCATTTATGAGAAGAGTGAAATACTAGTTTGAAGTACAAATGGCCAAAAATTACATGAAGTAATGTTCAGCATCTTTAGTCATCAAGGAAATGCATATCAAACCCATATTTAGGTTCTATAGTTAGATCAGCAAGCAAGAATACAAATACCAATAAATGATGGTGAAAAGGTGTGGGAGAAAAACTTTTATACACTGTTTTGGGGGATGTAAATTAGTACAGCCACTATGGAAGTCAGAATGAAGTTTACTTAAAAAGGTAAAAATGGATATACTATATGATACAGCTGTACTATTTCTTGGTATTTATCTAAAAGAATTAAAGTCAGCATATCTTAGGAATATGTGCATACCAATGTACACTGTAGCATAATTCACAGCAGCCAAATTATGGAATCAGCCTAGGTGTCCATCAACAGATGAATAGACAAAGAAAATGGTGTATGTACACAATGGAGTTTTATTCAGCCATAAAGAAGGATGAAATTCTGTCATTTGCAAGAAAATAGATGAAAGTGGAGATCATATAATTTTGAGTGAAATAAGTCAAGCTCAGAAAGAAATTGTCATGTTTTCTTTCATAAGTGGAAGATAAAAAAAATGAGGCTCTATGAAAGAGAAGGGAGACCAATAGGATAGAGGAAGAAGATCTCGGGGAAGGGGTGAGAGGAGTGTGGGGGAGGTATTGGGGGGTGAAATTGATCAGTTATATTTTTATGTATATCCAAATATGCCACAATAAAACTCACCATTCTGTATAATTAATATGCCACAACCCAAAAAGGTTTAGAGGTATCTCTCTGGGCCTAGCAAGTTAGACATCCCATTTTCCTACTGCTTTCATTCAAAGGTCCATTCAGATACTTGTCTAGGAACCTAAAGATGATCACCTCTCACAGTACAATCTGGAACTGGTGACTTCTTGCTTTAAATCCATCAATTGCAGCTTTCCTTGGTAACGCTGTTGGGATAATGCCCCAGGTCCAGCTAAGGCATTTCCTATGGCTGCCCTTTCTCTCCCTGCCTGTGCTCTCTGTTCTCCATGTTCTCCAGGTGAACTGTGTACCCCAGGGTGTGTAAGTACTAAAATCTCTCACACTTTCACACTGTGGTTGTGGCATTGAAACTGTGCTGAAACAGTGTCTACTAAGTTGATAATGAAACACAAGGAGTTCCATTCAAATTTCAGGACAAATCCCGGCAACACTCATGAAGGCAGCTCCTATCAGCCAAGGGCAATCCTCTGGAGAAGATGCAAGTGAGATCTTCAGCAGCCAATGCCTGTAACAGTAAGAGTATGGATGTATTAGGCTCTAAAGGAACCTGGGCAAAGCCCAAAGACCATTACTACAGGAAGAAATGGGGAGCTTTGTAATCATCAGTTCTCTTGACTACATTATGGCATTAGCTAGAACTCAGGCTCCCCACTTCCCGGTTGCATGCATCCCTGAGCTTTACACTTCTTTAAGGCTCATGCAAGAAACACTGAATCTTCCTATTCTTCATCACATTCACTGGTCACAATGTGGGACCTGTTTCACCTATTTTGTGGGTGAAAGAAATTCACCTACAAATAAAGTGCACAGCAACTATATTTTATAGGTGCAGGGTCTCCTTTTGGAAAATGGAAAGATAACTTTGGAAGATTATTTAGAATCCACTTGGATATTTCTTCACTGATAGGAAGTTTGTACCTCTTACTACTGTTGCTTTGGGGATGGAAAAAATCAAGTCTTGACATAAATGGAAAGCCCATTATTTTTTCAGGCTTACCACCTGCTTACCAGCTCCTAAAATGTTTAAAATTATTCTCACATGTTTTTAGATGTTATCCATTCTGAATGGAAATATAAATTGAAATTATGGCACAAGGTGTATAGAATATCTATTCTGCTCCTTTTCAATTTTAATAGATTTCCTGAATTTTAGCTGGATCTATGGCCACCTAGAATAAAGACTATGTTTTCAAGTATCTATTGCATTTATGTGTGGTCATTGACTAAATTTTGATTAAAGGGTCTGCATCACGACCTTCTCAGGGAGATGCTTGTTCTCTCCAACCCCTTCCCTCATCCCTGTCCCCTCTTGCCAACTGGAATGTGAATATATGGTGGCTATTCCTCTTGGGTGACATGATAAAAACAAGGTCTTGGGATGACCTGCAAGATAGGAGAAATTTGGTCTCTTCACACCAACCTGACATTTTAATCTAATCCTTTACATGGGAGAAAAATGAATTATGTCATGTCTTAGTTGCTTTTATTCGGGTTTCTGTTCCAGCTCCTGAATCTACACTCTAATTCAGCTGGGCCATGAAACCTTTTCAACTATATCATTATCTCGACATCTCAGACATTCTTAAAGCAAGGACAACAAGGTAGTGATATATCTCTTTTGACACTAAAATAGAATAATTCAAATAATATCAGGGAATATTTTTAATTTATTAGTGTTTAAATGATTATCTATCTATCACTATGAAATTAGGGTTAAAGCCATGACCAACAAAAATATTATATTATCGATAGAAATATAATCCAGTAGTGTGAATGAGTACCAGGTAGTGTTATATACTTAGTCACAAAGGGGTATGGATTAGTTCATGCTTATGAAAGGCCCTGAAAATATCACACATCTAAAAGCATAAGGTGTCATGATTTAACTTAGTTTATGACAAAGACTATAAAATTAAAGATATCGATAGCAATCATGCAGGGAAAAATTCATCTAGAAGCAAAGAAGTATTTATCTTAAGGAAATAGCAATGGATAGTAAACGCTATTTCTATAAATTATTCCTACACGTCTCAAAGTCGCAAACTATTGTTGGGAAGAATTTGGTCTCAAACTTTATAAAATGAGATCTTTGAATATAGAACATCTTATTAGACATCAATTCTTAACAGCAACAAGTCTTTGAAAAAGGAATATCTATGTTTATTGTTCTAAAGCTAGGACATGTTGTACCACTATAGAGTGAAACAAATTAGCTTTCTCAGTGGAAACTGCAAGTTTTCTAAAGTACAATATTTCAAAAGATGCTGTCAAGACTAGAGGTTACATTTTTAATAGATTGAATTTAAAATATTTCTTCTTATATAACAACACAATCTCATCTGCAATACACCTGGTTTCAGGAAAGAAAACAAAGCACTTCGAAGAACCAAATCATCATAATAAAACATAAAGATAAATAGGAAACAGGAGGAATTTGAAAAGTGAGCTGAATTATTGGCTCCAGACTATTTTTTAAGAGGATATAGTATGAAATAGATTTTTCTTATGTCAATAATTCCCTCTTGAGAAATATAATAGAGGAAAGAAAGCAATAGTAATAATGATTTTCCCACATTAAAATGTGAGCTAAAACAAAATGTGTAAATGTACAAAGGAAAAAAAACCACATTAATACTTATACCATGTTCTTATTTTATGAAAATTGCTACATTGGTATCAGATCATTCAAATATTCAGAAATTATTATTTTCAGTTGTTTGTATACTAGGTTTCCTTCGTAAAGTTTGCAAATGTTTTGAACCATGACTGTATGCCAGGTACTAAGCAACTTGTAAGGACAGAGGAAAAGCAAGACCAGTTGCTTCCCTTGAATCTCTTAGAGAGGTAAGGACACATCCTGGGATTGGTTGGATGTTTAAAGCATGCTATCAGTTAATTGAATTGGCAACTATAAGTATACAATACCACCCATCAATGTTCCTCCTACATATAAGAGTTTCAGGGAAACTCTTACAAGTATTTATTGGAGAACATGTGCTGGGATATTTACTACAATGTCCTTTGGAGTAACAGAAAGTTGGAAGCTGCCAAAAGTGAATACTCACTATAAAACACCATAGAATGATGGGAAACAAAGGAACAAAGGTACATACACCCAAATGATGGTCCATAAAAGCTTATATATTACATATAAATAAAATACAGGAGCACTAATGTCAATTAAATACATGTGTGCAAATAATTTTGCATATTTTAAAAGAATGCCTAAAAATGAAAGAATAGACTTCAAACACTTCAGAGTAACTGCTAGTAGAGTAAAAAATTGAAGGACAAAATGAGAATAGAGGAAATAAATACATCAAACAAACAAATAAATAAAAGAATAGAAGAAATAAACTTCAAAGAGGGTCATTCATTTGGAAATGATGGTTCTGGATCATGAACTATTTGAAGAAAATAATCTCTCTACATTTACTGTAAGTAAAATGCTAAAATTATATATGGTTTGGGATTCTGACAATAGGTTTTTGAGATAGTTGTTCAAGTTTTACTACTAAATAGCTGAGATTGCTAAACTTAAAATATCAAATACACTAGCTAAAGTTGAAAGAAAAAGGAAAGTGGTAAATACTGAGCAAGGAAACAGCTAAAACAGCTATGAATGTGATTAAGTACAAACTGATGCTGGGCTTACTTTGATAAGCACTTTGACAGCAAAATTCTTTTTTTTTTTTTAAAAATCTATCATACAGAAAAGGAAAGAAGGTCCTGGACCCCTCTCATGGACAGTGTTGTAACTAAGAATACTATATAAAATCAGAATTCTTCAAAGCCTGTATCTTTGGATAATGTGAGCTAGAAACAAATCTATCAATCAGCACGTGCAGAATTTGTAACCATGATTCTATACTTATGTAGGTGTGCCTAAGAAAAATATCAGTGAAAACATTATTTTGTTTGGTTTGCCATGCCCAGAGTGCCTGCCTCATCTGTAGACTTCTATATCTTCATTTGCATTCTCCAGATACTGATAGATAAAGGTCATTTACACAAGTCAAAATTGAAATCACATAAGGAAACCAGACAGGAAGAATTAAACTTCACCAAAATTTCACATTTTGTAATCATTAAGAAGTAGATACAAAGAGATTATATTAAAATGTTTAAGGAGAAAAATATATTCTTAAAACATAAGAAATGGAAAATATGCATAATAATTGAAATGAGTATTAAATCAATGCTTTACACAGGAGATTAGAGATAGCTACAGAACAAATTTGTTAAATGGCAGATTGACCAGAAGAAAGTGTTAAATGAAGTACAGAAATAAAGAAGATAGAAAATAAGAAAGGATGTTAAGTGGCATGGAGATAAGAATAAGTCTCAAAGATACATTTAATTAGATTTCAAAAATAAATAAATAAATAAACGAACAAATAAATAAATAAATAAATAAATAAGAGAATGCAGGGAAGATAATAACTAGAGAGATAGGGACTGATTCCAGATTGATTAAATGCAAGAAATATCAGACTCAGGGAAAATTGCTATCTACATAAAATTCTCTGCCCTGTAAAATTATCAGTCTAGATGTGATTAAGATGAAGACATTTTCAGACAAGAAATTGCCAAATTCTCAACATGGTAATTAAGGAAAAATAGTAAAGTAATCTGGAAATAATGATGTAGGATATAAGAAAAAATGGAGAGTAAATATTAAAAAGTACGTGTAACATTCTACATAAATATTAGTTGTGTAAACAATGATTAAATCTCTACTTTGTGAATTTTGTGATATTGGTTAGTAATGACAAGACAAGATAAAATTGGAATCACTTGAGTTCAAGAATCTGAAATATGTGTATTATTTAGAAGCACAAAAGTAAAAATTTCTGATTTTTTTTACCTTTATTTCATTTATTTATTTTTATGTGGTGGTGAGGATTGAACCAAGGGCCTTGCATGTGCTAGGCAAGTGCTCTACCACTGAGCCACAACCCCAGACCTCCCAAACTTCTGATTTTTAAGTGTATTAGAAATGTAATAGGAAAATAATATGAATATAATTTAGAATTCCCAAAAAAGTAGATAAAAATGAAATCAAACATGATAAATTTAGAGAATACATGAAAGTTGAATAAAATAAGCATAAGAACACAGGAAAAATAAAGAAGATAAAAGAATGGCAAACTTAACTTTTAGTGTATTATTAATTATATAAATGTAAAGTAACTAAATTCATATGTATAAAGACAAAGAATTACCAGATTAGGATTGTTGTTAATTACTGAATTGTCTGAGAATTTTTATATTTGGGCAAGTCTTTAGTAAGATACAGACATTTTATGCATTTGAAATATTTTCTCAATCTGCAATTTACTTTTTTTTTTTAAAGAGAGAGTGAGAGAGGAGAGAGAGAAAGAGAGAATTTTTAATATTTATTT